AATTAAAAAAGTGTTACAAAAAATTATTTGGTAAACAAAAAAATAATTGTATTTTTTTAAAATATACATATTTAAACAATTGTATTTCAATTTAAAAAAGTAATTTTTTGATATTCACACATACAGTTACCAATGTGACAATACAGGGAATGATAAATAAATAATTAACAATCATGTTTAAATGTAATTTTTGATGTAAACATAAACTAAAGATAATAATTGTTTTGACATATTTTTGATTTATGAATATATCTTTAATATCTAGAACAGGTGTGACCATTTTAATTGTGTAACTACATAAAAAATGATTATTTTCCAATAACTCACTATCGATAATAACATGTAAATAACTTTATTTAATATATATAATCTTTTTAATTTATTATGTCTGATTACACACATAAATAGCACATTATGAAAATGACATCACAACTGTTTTTGAATAGTGAAATAATAACATAATTATACAATTACTTTTTAATGAATTAATTATGATAATTAAAATAAAATGATTCACTTTTATACTCTATAAGCCTATTGAAAAACGGATAAAATTATTAAACATGTATACCTTTTGAGTGTGTAAACATATAATTTCAAACTAAACAAATACAAAATTATTATATAATGAAAAAAATGTAAATAAATCTTTTTAACTACTTGTTGTTCACAACCCATTTGTACATGTTACGTTTAAATAAAATATATTTACTGGTTAAAATAACTGACAATTACATTAATTTTGTTTATGATAAATAATCAAATATACATGTGAACAAATTAAAAATGATGATAATAAACCAATTTGTTTTTTAATTACATTGGTGTTGTCTCTTAGATACGATTAAATATATTTTATAAATTTAATTAAAAATGTTTTTCTATTTTATTAATATTCAATTTGAAAACAATTGTTTTGATATTAAATGTTTGTGTATTATTTAGATTATATGCACACCGTTATTTAAATCCAAAAAGACAAACATTTTTTGTTTTAATTCATTGTTATATATGATCCAAAGAAATAACTGTTATAATAATTAAATATGTATGGAATTATTTTTTAAAATAATCATGAAAGTGTATTCATTTTTGTTGAAATAACTAACTTAGTATACCACAACAAAGAACTGGAATCAATTTTATAATTTTTTTATTCCCTGTTTTTACTCCTTAATGATAAATTATTTATTTTTTATATTTTATGTATATATGTGAGAGAGAAGCAAGTTATAAGCAAAAATGTTCTAAACTGTGTTATTCCAGTAATTTTAATGTAATGATTTCAAGTTCAGGTTTGATATTACACGTTTTCACACTAACATGTAATCACGTTTTATTTTTGACATTTTATAAAAATGAAAATGTTGTGATTAACAGTGAAACCTGATATATCATCTGTGTTATTTAATTATTGAAATTAATAATCAATACATGTTTCTATTATATAATAATAATAATTGTTGTGGTGTTACAAAGGTATATATGTTTAATTATGTGTTTTTACATGAATAACAAGAAAACGATAGTTATAAAAGAATTATTGTGTATAACAACTCTCTTACATGTTATTATCAACAAAAATAGTTTAACGAAAATTGTGTACATCGACGTAGTTACACAATGAAATTGATATTAATCGTTTATTTTTGTTTTAATAAATATCATAACTATTTCACCAAAGTTATTATTTAAGGGATTCATGAGGATTGTTATTTTTTCTGAGGATGGTAAATATCTTAAACATAATTTCTTTCAATTTAGATTTTTTTGCCTAAGATCAAAAAGGTATATTTTGAAACACGTGATTTTCTTTAAAAATGCTATTTATGGATTTTTTGAAAGATGATTCTTTCAGTTGATTTTTACAAAAAAATAATCTATTTCTATTTTCTGATTTACCACAAGACTAACCTTGGTTTATATGAAAACATTTGACAGACATTTAAATTATCGAAAAAGTCGATTTTTTTATAAAAATCATTAAACAAATTAATCTAACAATTTTTAATCTTTTTCACAAAAATACAATTTATTAAAAATCAATTCATGATATTTCAAACAATATAAATTGATAGCAAATGACATATTAATAATATATAGTTTATGCGATGACAATTTATGTATTTGCGCAAATTCAAAACGAGAGGTTTTGAATATCGATGAAACAACGATTGATAAATGAACAAATTTGTAAAATAAAATCATTTTTGTTTTAAACGGTTTTATTTATATTTCAAAACATATATACACAAGAAATATATGTTTATATTATTTTTTTATTCTACAATATTAATTTCAATAAATGTATCTTGAATTCAATAATCAATTTTATATATTATTTGGCGTTTTTATTGTGTTTTGACAATTTTTGATATAATCAATTAACAAAACCCACTTTATAAAAATTCTTTGATAATTTTATTTATAGAATTTTAAATCAATAGTGGCAGTGCTATAAATATCTCTGAGGATGGTGAGTCGTGTAACAAACAGACATTATCAACATGGACTTAAACATCTTGAAGTGAAATGACGTGTTCCCATGTTCAAAAATAGTAACTTACTCAATATACATTTCAGACAGATGTAAAAGTGTAAACTTTCTATTTCTATCATCATCACAAAATAATTGCCATCCTCAGAACTGTAAATCTGTTTAAAACACAAGTTAATATCAAAATGAAATATTCTTTTTAAAATATACACAATATGATTAACTTTGTTATTATAATAAATTTGAATAATTGCATAAATTACAAAATTATTAATAAATTTGTTATTTTAAAATTACATTTTTTTGAAAATCAGTGTTTTCGACTTTTTCAATTTTCATTTTGATTAAAAAACAATTATCAATTTAAATGTAAATTTAATTATTATGTTATAAAGACGGATTCGAAAATAATTTCAATAAGTATATAATCATAATATGAACAAGTATAATACATGTTTTGTTATTTCCCGTCTCAAGTTCGCGAGATATAATTATTGTTTTTGTTTACTGATTATTGTGGCGATTTTTTGATTGTATTTAATTTTTTGGCATTTATGACAAATTATTACCATTATTTAAAATTCGAACTTTGACTCGAAACATTAAGTGTAAATTATAACTTGAGTTATGA